TTTCTCCTTAGGTTTATTATTTTTAATTTCCTGTATATGTCTCAAAATAACAAATCAAACTACAGTTCTTGGGCCAATGAAGGCCCAAATGTAACATGACTACATATGTTTTAAGATTTTTTAAAAAACTGTGTCAGGATAACGTAGAACCATTGGTGGTGCAGTGGTTAAGAGCTTGGCTGCCAACCAAAAGGTCGGCAGTTTGAATCCACCAGCTGCTCCTTGGAAACCCTATGAGGCAGCTGTACTCTGTCCTATACAGTCACGATGAGTCAGAATCAATTTGTTGGCAATGGGTTTTGTTTGTTTGTTTGTCTCGGTCTGGTTGTTTATTTATATGTCTTTCTTTTGTTTCTTGAGGGTTTGTTTTGTGTGTGTATGTGTGTGTGTGTCTGTGTAATGTTTTTAGAGAAAAACATAAGTTATTTCTAAAAGTAAGATTTAAGAAAATGTTAATGGCAATTTTGGCTACAAAATGTATCATTTATATAAGTTGACTATATTAGACTGTATGATTGCCATTAAGTATCCTATTTATTTTAAAAAGAACATTTTTTCCCCTGTTCTTCTACTACATAAATCTCTCGAATTGGTTCCATGTATTTTGGTGTAAAAGTGCAATTTTAAACAGTTGTCTTCAAGTGCTGATAAGTATTCATTTCCATCAATGTCATCTGACTCTGAGAATTTCTTAAATTAATATGAAACACTATGGAGGTTGTCTCAAAACAAATAAATGTGATATCAATGTACATTAAATAAAAGTTAAAGTTACATTGTTTGCATACAGAGAACATCCTTTTCATTTTTAAACTGTATTGTAGATAAATAACATAATGCCATGATGGCTGTCTTTAGAGAATTAAACTGCCGTATATTTTAATTATGTGTGCGCCACTCACCCTCCAGTGGATGAGATAAAGCAGACACTAAAAAGGGAGAAGAAAAAAAATATCTGCAAAAATTCACAGTACTTACTGATTCATTCATTCAGCAGCAGATATTATTTACTTTGTCCTTATGGAAAGCATTGTGCTAGATACTGTTCAGGACTTGGACAAGGAAAAGAGGAAAGCAAGGGAACAGAAAGACCTATGGAAGGAATGAAATGTGAAAAGAAAGCAATGAAATGTGAAAGTAGGTATAAAGAGTGTGGGAGTGAGCTGAATCTAATATGTAAATTCATATAAGATCTCTACATGTCACTTTAAGGATATGGTGTTGGTGAAGAATACTGAATATACCATGGACTGCCAAAAGAATGAACAAATCTGTCTCGGAAGAAGTACAGCCAGAATGCTCCTTAGAAGCAAGGATGTCGAGACTACATCTCACATACTTTGGACATGTTACCAGGAGCCCTCAGTCCCTGGAGAAGGACATAATGCTTGGTGTCTTAGTTATCTAGTGCTGCTGTAACAGAAATACCACAAGTGGATGGCTTTATCAAACAGAAGGTTATTCTCTCTCAGTCTAGGAGGCTAGAAGTTCGAATTCACGGTGCCAGCTCCAGAGGAAGGCTTTCTCTCTGTCGGCTCTGGAGGAAGGTCCTTGTCATCACTCTTCCCCTGGACTAAGAGCTTCTCAGTGCAGAAACCTTGGGTCCAAAGGACTCTGCAACTAGTGCTGCTTCTTTGGTGGTATAAAGTCCCTGTCTCTCTGCTCGCTTCTCTCTTTTATATCTCAAAAGAGATTGGCTTAAAAAGCAACCAAATCTTGTAGA